TCCTTCCCTACCTGCCCGCTGCGTCTGCCCCCTCCCGCTCCCATCCGCCTGCCCGCCCGCCCTCTCTTTTCCCACCCGCCTATTCATCCCCTACACCTTGCTCCCTCCTTCTCTGCCCCTGTCGATACCATGGGGGACATTTTAAAATTCTCCCTCAGGGGACTGGATCAACTCCGCTGCCGCCGTGTGGGCCTGGCTGGCCCAGAGGAGACCCCCGCTGCGAGGACCCGCCTGGCCATGCGCTGAAAGCTGAACGATGTCGCTCTCCAGGCTGAACAGCTTCACCAATGGCTTCCTGGAAGACCCTTCCGGGATGGAGACCGCTGCTGGGGCGGACATGGCCCAGGTCCTCAAGTGCTTGGAGATGGGCACCATTCTGACCTTGTTCTATCAGAAGAAGTCACAGAGGCCCGAGCGGAGGAGCTTCCAGGTCCGGCTGAAGAACAGGCAGGTCATCTGGAGCCGGACCCCGGAGAAAGTGGAGGGCGATGGTGAGTGCCAGGGCTTCGGGGCTGGCTGGAGGGGGGGAGCCAACCCGGCAAACGGATGGGCCGAATCAAAAGAGGCCCACCTCAGCTGGGGCCTCCAGCGCTGTTGGGACCACAAGTCCTGGAACTCCCAGCCGGAATGGCCAGAGCCAGGAGGTCCAGGAAGGGTGGTCGTTTCCACACAGCTGGAGGGCACCCAGCTGAGAAAGGCTCGGCTCTGGGAATCTGGGATTGTGGGGCCTCGGTGCGGGGAGGCCTGCTATGTTCATCCTCAAAAAGAAGAAGGAGAAGGAGGAGGAGAAGAAGCTGGGTCCATCTCACTTCCTGCCGTTCTTCTCCAGGAGATTTCCCCCTGGCCTGCAGGGCTGATCCCACTGTAGCCCTTCAGTGTTGGAGCGGGTGATCCCTTGTCATCCTGTACATTGTGAGGACAATTTGCTCTTGGTTTTACGTTTGCTGTTCCTAGGCTCTCTTTCGGGGAAAAATGTCTGAAGCAGCTTTAAAGAGCAGCTTAAGAATATTTCAGAGCCTAGTTTATTGTCAGTAAAGAAGCAAATGAAATAACTTAAAAGCATTGAAACAAAAGCAAGCAATTAAGCATCAGAGCAGTTGAAAGGTAAATTGAAAACCAACAGCCAGGATAATGAAAAATAGTCCAAGATCATAATGAAAAAAATATATATTTTGTCAAAAACAGAACTACTGTAGGTGGGCTGCAGAAATCCAGACAGCCATTAGAATGGTGTTTCTCAACCTTGGCAACTTTAAGATGTGTTGGACTCCAACTCCCAGAATTCTGGGAGTTGAAGTCCACACATCTTAAAAGTTGTCAAGGTTGAGAAACTCTGCAGTAGAAGGTAGCAGAGTTTTCTGCATATGTTTGGTGCCCTCTGTGGTCTTCTAGCTTTTTGCAGTTCGGATCAGGTAGTCCAAGTGGGTTTTTAAGCACTTTTAAACATCTGAAATGAAGGAGACCACTTTTTGTCCCGTGGGGAGGAGAGACCTCATTGCAAAGGCCCTTCCTCTCTGCTCATCACTGTGACTGATTGCGTTGAATCCGGCTGATTCAAAAAGCTGTGGTAGATCCTTGATGGATGCTTGCATCTTCTTCTGATCCAGAAGCTCTTCAGGTGTTTATATGGTTTCTCTCTTGTGCGTTTGTAAGCAAAATGGTTCCTCGGGAAGGAAACCGCTGAGAATCACGGGGCTTTCCTAAACTTCCCTGGTCTGAGTCTCTTAAAAAGCTGCTGGATTGGATCAAAAACTGCAGATGTTAAATGGGTCAGAGGTTCTAGCTTCTTATGGCAGGCTCACTTGCGCGGGACCGCCAAGCTCTTGGGGGCCATTAGTCATAGGGAGCCACAGCCACTATGTTTCATCTGGAACTTGTTCAGTGTTGCCTGTTAGTTTACATGTGGGATTTACTCAATCATCAGACAGTTGCCGAGAGGCAGAGAAAGGCACGGGGGCGGAGGAACCTGTGAGCCCTGGGCTCCTTTCGGTGCAGTGGGTGATGCTGTGGTTCAGGGTTCGGCTGTCTCTTGCATGTGGAATGGGAGAGACGGCCATGGGGTTCTTCTTAGACACTTAAATAATTTGGGGTGGGTTTTTAATCTGCCTCTCCTGAGGGTACACGGCTATCTAAAGCGGGCATTGAGGAACTGCCCCTTCTTCGTCTGTTCACCGGACAATTGAACTCTGGCTGGTCCTGTGATTTTACCTTCTCTGTCTGTCAGATGGGAGCTGTGACAAAGAGTCATCTGAAGCTGCTTGAGATCCATAGGTGGAATTCACTCTGTGAGTTTTCCAGAAGTTCCCTCTAGCTCTTTGGTGACTTGGGCTCTGTCAGCATCACATACAATAAACCGCAACAGGCTGAATTCATGCATCCTGCTAAATAATGGCACGGTTCACCGACCACAAAGGCTGGGGCCACATAACCTGTGAAGACCAAAGTCCAAAGAAGGCTCCTTGTGGTCAAGCAGGATGCTGGAGCTCTTCTCTCGCTCATAGGCTGTGTGAACCCACCGCTTTTAATCTTTTGGACTGAATTAACCCATTTTCTGGGTTCACACAGTGCATACACACAGCATGTGAAGCCACCAAGTAATAACCAAGTTCAGACCAACCAAGCTTAAAAAGTTACATAAATCTATCTACTAGGCCATTACCAACCAGGTTAGCACTCTTCTGTGATCACAACCATGAAGTTGTCATCACCTCTGCACTTGAGAAGGTTGCCTCAAGATAACCCAAACCGGTTGCAACAACTGAATGGATTGTGAGTAGATATGGCTGCCATCTTGTCAATGTTGACTCCTCTTGCGACGCTGTGGCTTGCTGCTGAACTGGCCCTCATAGTTTGTGATCGAGTGAAAACTTGGAGCTTGAGGCATAGGGGCTGGGTGGCGGACCACTCTGGTCCTAATCCCATCATGACCGGACTTGTGAGCATCCAGTTGGCTTTTGCTGCCCCAAAAAGAAGATGAAAGGGAGAGGAGAGGATGGAATTGGTGCACTAGACACTGTGCAATCAGTTTTGGTCTGGGCGGCTTCCTTGATTCCTTATCTTTGCACACTTACAGAGATTATATCATGAATATATCACCTTGTTTAAGGTGAAGGGAAAGTCAAGCTCAGCTTCAGGTGTTTGCAAGGACACGTCTGTTGTTTCCTTGGACTTGATATGGAGGTGGTGTGCCATGCGTTGTTGTGACTTCTGAATCTGGCCTACAGTGAGTGAAGAAAACATGTTTATTTCTGTGTATTGATTCAATGTATACCCATGTTTTAAAGAATCTTACAGTGTACTTTAAAAGAATACATAAAGGCACTAAACTATGGTTATAACCATGCAAGCAATCAAAAACAGCTTAAAGACAAATAATAGATTTCTGCCCAGCTTGGAGGATGGCTTACAAACTTATAACAGCAAAAAGTTTATTAAAAATATGTGGATATGCGGAATTCGCAGGGAAGAGCTGGGCCTTTCTTCCCATGAGAATTGATAAGAGGTGATGAAAGGTTTTGCAAATGGGTCGCTGTTTGCCTCCCCGAAATACTGACTGGGTTTGTACCCTGTGTGCAGGTCATTGTATTTGTCTGCATCTTAATGTATTGTTGCAAACTCTGGGAAATCTTGAAGATTTGGTGGCATCCAGATTAAGTAATTAACTAACTAAAGGATGACTCGGGGGGGCACAAGCGACATCATTGTAATGACATCATGACGATGTGATGTCCAGAATGAGATCACAGCTCAGGTGATGTCATCTTAAGGAGGCCCCTGCTTAACTTGGTGCTCCGGGACATTTTGGATCTGGAGAGGAAGCAGCGGGATGCGTAGAGCTGTCTCGTGAACGTACGTTGCTGTGTTCCTTAAATAGCACTGGAATATTTTGTGGTGATTGCTGCTCTGACTCTTGGAAAACAGTGCTTTTGAATCCCAGCATTTCCACAGTTTGCATGTGGAGCGCAGTCACGGAGGGCTGATGCCTCCCTGGAAACTCAGCTGAGCAGGGGGATGCAGCACTAACCCCGATTCTGTAGCACGGCGGCAAGTTCTCCAATCTTCTGCATTCGGCTTGTTTGATCTGCTGGTGAGACAAGCAGTTTCCTGAGAGGCTTGTGCATGGGCAGCTGGGAAGTCACCGTAATGTCCCATGCATGGTGGCGTCATTTGCACAATGACATGATGACACGCATGACGTTCCTCAAGTTCCCTCAGATCCCTCATCATCCCTTAGATGTTGGGGCACAGGAACCAGAGTTATAGGGAGTAGACCTAGAGCATCCTGCCCTCCTGACCCTCAAGCCGGGCAGCTTGAGGTCAGATAGAATCTGATGTGTGTTTTTATGGTGTTTTTCATATTTTTGTAGTTCATGTTGCCTTTAACCCAGTAGAACATTTCAGTTGTACATCACCCTGAGAATCTGAGTAACAGCTGCAACTCGCAAATCCATAATATTATAGGCAGCTTTTCTCCTAAGATGGTCCTCCTTTTGATGTTTTTGCAGAGTAGTCCCACACTGAGAGGGCATCTTGCCCTCCCGCCCCAAGTCCCCCCGCCCCCCAGGCTTTAGGGAAAAGGCAGAAATCCTTCCTTTTCAGGATCAACAGAAGAGAGCTATCTGTAACTATCTGTAGCTCAGGGTTGAGCTGTGGAGTCCTTGGTGCTCTCTGAGCTTGGTGGC